GCAGATGTATCGTCACGCGTGCACTGCGCCTCAATCTCCCAGGCTCAAGTGATCCTCCCACCTCAGCCTCCAACAGTAGCTGGGACTAGAGGGCAAGGCCACCACACCTACCTCAATTTTAAATAATTTTTTTCTTTTTTTCTTTCTTTTTTTTTTTTTGAGATGGAGTCTCTCTCCGTCGCCCAGGCTGGAGTGCAGTAGACTATATCTCGCTCACTGCAAACTCCACTCTCCAGGTTCACGCCATCTCCTCACTACAGCCCCGCTGATTCTCATGCCTCAGCCTCCAGAGTAGCTGGGATTACAGGCACACACCACCATGCATGGCTAATTTTTCTATTTTTAGTAGAGATGGGGTTTCACTATGTGGCCAGGCTGGTCTCGAACTCCTGACCTCAAGTGATTTGCCCACCTCAGCCTCCCAAAGTGCTGGAATTACAGGTGTGAGCCACTGCGCCCAGCCAAAAAAAAACTTCTATGTATTAAGTTTTACAATCACATACAAATAAATAATGTATACCAAAAGTGGTGATGACTATGATGAAAATAAAGCAGGTAAGTGAGTTCTAAGAGGGTGCAGAGAGGATGCCTTGGGGGGCGTGTTTATTGCTCACCTCTCCCTCTGTTTGTTTTCTTGTGCTGCGTAACAAATTATTCCAAAACTGAGCAACTTAAAAACAACAGAAAGCTGGGTGTGGTTTCACTGGGTCTCCTGCTTTAAGGTTTAGCAAGGATTCAATCAAGACAGAGGCCAGGCTGGGCACAGTGGCTCACGGCTGTAATCGCAGCACTTTCAGAGGCTGAGGCAGGCAGATCACCTGAGGTCATGAGTTCAAGACCAGCCTGGCCAACATGGCAAAACCCTGTCTCTACAAAAAATACAAAAATTAGCCGGGCGTGGTGGCTCATGCCTGTAATCCCAGCTACTTGGGAGGCTGAGACAGGAGAATCACTTGAACCCAGGAGGTGGAGGTTGCAGTGAGCCAAGATTGTGCCACCGCACTCCAGCCCGGGGGACAAAGTGAGACTCCGTCTCAAAGAAAAAAAAATAAAAAGGACACAGGCCCGGGCTGGGGTGTCATCTGAAGGCTCAACTGGGGAAGGACCTGCTGCCAAACCTTTGTGGTTGTTGACAGAATTCAGTCCCTCACGGCTGTTGGCCACAAGACACTCTCAGTTTCTTACCTACACAGACCTTGTCTGCAGCTTCTATCTTTGTCCATCTGCTGCTGCTTTCACAGAACGCCACAGATGGGGTAAATTATGCACAGTAGAAGTTTATTTGGGCCACACGTGGTGGCTGATGCCTATAATCCCAGCACTTTTGGAGGCCGAGGTAGGTGTATCACTTGAGGTCAGGAGTTTGAGACCAACCTGGCCAACATGGTGAAACCCTGTCTCTACTAAAAATACAAAAATTAGCTGGGTGTGGTGGCAGGTGCCTATAATACCAGCTACTCCAGAGGCTGAGGCAGGAGAGTAACTTGAACCCAGGAGGCGGAGGTTGCAGTGAGCCAAGATCGTGCCACTGCACTCCATCCAGCTTGGGCAACAGAGTGAGGCTCCATCTCAAAAAAATTGGTGCAACCCAGCACACTGAAACCAGCCGGCACATTGTGCGTGCTCACAAATGGGTTGAGTGGGCATCACCCCATTCCCCGGTGAGGAAGCAGGCTCAGGGAGCCCCAGGTTTCACCTCCTCCCGTCCCACACGCCACTCTTTCATACATCACTGGAATTTTATTTTTATTTCTTTTTTTTTCCCTGGGAAGCTTTGTTCTCTCACCCTGTGTCCCAGGGGCAATTCTGCTGTCGGCTCCCAGTTCACTCCTGGGGGTTCCCAGGGCTGAGGGAGTCGAGGGGCAGGCACAGCCATGCATCGGGCTCTGTCCCTCCTGACCAGTGGGGGACCCCTCCCTGCCCTGCCCCACCTTCCAGCGCCCCCTACCTTCACCCTCTGAAGCCTGCCCTTCCCCCATCCCTGCCGACAGTACCCGTTCCCCACCAGCCCGCGTCTGTCATCCTGTCTTCGGGAGCTGTCAGCCTTCATCTGAGATCTCCTCCATCAACTCCTCCGGGGCTGCCTGGCTGCCGGAGCACATCAGAGGGATGGGGAGGAGGGGTGATGGGATCCCCTTCCGCTGGAGCCCACTGCCACCCCAGCCCGGGCTTACAGGAGAAGAGGGGCCCACGCCGTGTGAACCTGGGGTTCCCTGAGCCTGTTTCCTTATCTGGGAATGGGATGACACCACCCACTCGGTCCACAAACACCCCCGGGGGCACGCTCTGTTGCTGCCCCATTTATGGGTAAGGGAGGCTCCTCAACCTCCAGGGTGAGGGAGGGACAGGGCCCGGGTTTGAATCTCCAGGCTCCAAGGCCATGCCTTTGGTTATCCGCCCCACTGCAACTCCACTGCAATTGCCTGCGTGTCAGACTGGAGTCCTGGACGGGCTGGATCATGCCTCCCCCATCAGATAGGGGCCTCTAGAAGGAAGGCTCACGTCTC